GCCAGTGCCTTCAGCACCCTCGGATGGAGCTCATCCGGGCCTGCCGACTTAAAGGCATCCAGTTCTTCCAAGAGACTGTGCACCATCTCAGGGTCTACGCATGGTAGTCTGGCGCCTTGGTGCTGCCTCTCTACAACCCCAGTGAGAGACTTGTCGTGCCCCTCACTTAGGAACACTGAGGCAAAGAACTCGTTGAGGAGTTCAGCCTTGTCCCCCCTGTCCGTCACCAATTGTTTCTGCTTGTTTAGCAGGGGTCCTATTCCTCCCTGGGCCTTCCTTTTACTCCCTATATATCTAAAAAACAATTTCTTGTTGTCCTTTACTTGGGATGCCATCCTCAGCTCCATGGTAGCTTTGGCCCGTCTAACTGTCTCCCTACAAGCGCGAGCAAAGGAGGTATATTCATCTTTGGTGATCTCTCCCTGTTTCCACTTTTTATGTGCTCCCCTTTTGGCCCTTAGGCTGCCCTGGATTTCTCTGGTCAGCCAAGGAAGCCTCCTGGCCCCTTTCCCTCTTTTTCCTCGCATCAGGATCGTCTCGCCTCGTATGGGGCCTTTTTTGTAAGATCAGTCTCTTTTAACAAGACAAAGACCTCTGCTGTCAGCACGTCATTAAATTAAGTAAAAAGAATCTATTTTTCTTCCACCAGAACAGATACAAGACCTGGATGTGCAAAGTCTTCCAAGAGTATTTGTCGGCTACAAACAGACTCAGGTCTATTTGCCAGCAGCCCAATGCATCTGTGAACAGAACCCAATAGCATTTATTTTTTATGCAAACCCCAAGACAAAAGTTTCAATTTTTTTTTTTCTTTTTACTAGGGATATTTTTGCCCTCCCCTCTCTACTGCCAGTTTGGATGCTGGCTGCAGAGGCAAGATGGAGTCTAGTGTTTAGAGCCAACAGGCAATTTGGAGAGTGACATCATTCAGTTTAAGTCTCAATGTTAAAAAAAAAACTGTAAAGAGTCAAAGGTTATGCATCTCTCTGTCTCATGAGCAGCGGCAAAAACTGAAAATACGGAATCAGTTTTATTTTACTGTGCAAGTAATAAGCTCCGATTAACAAACAGCGTTTCTAATGAAAAAGAATTTACTTTAAGAAGTAATTCATTAACAGTCCAGGAATTTCGCAGTATCTCACCTTTTAAGCTTGGGAAAAAACTGGTGTTTATCTGGAACAAAAAGTTAGAGAGATTAACACTGCATTTCATACTATACCTCCCTGTACAGCAAGCTCTTCTACCATGCAAGCAAAGACAAAGGACAGAAGGAAATGCAAAAAAAATGTAGTGGCAGCTGGTCAATTGAGGGGAGCCTTTTTATTTCAGGTCACTCAAATTAATCCAATACAGAGCACTGGCTGAGGTTGTGGCCACTGAAGTGATTTGCAGTCAGTTAATACGTTGAGATATACACAACTATCTGCCAAGAACCGGGACAAGGTCACAATCACTGCTGAGAACCAGGCCATGTTCACAATCATTATAGTATCATAGTAGCTAGGGCCAGGAGGGACCTGAACAGATCATCTAACCTGACCCCCTGCCACATTGTTGATGTCCTTGCAGATAACCAAGCACAGAATGGAAAAAAGTGAATTACACTTTCCAGAGGAAACCATTGATCCAGACAGTGCTGAGATGCACTAACAACTTATGTTCTTCCTGTTCTATGGACCTCAGCTTACCGCTGTCCAGCTTCTCTCTCCTTTGAAGTAACAAGACACTGACAGCTCTTGGTTTTGTTTCTCTCTGACTTTCTCTCATCCCCAAAATGAAAGGATATTCCCAATTGTTCTGCCCAGGCTTCCTTAACAATTTTCTGCAGGATCTTTTAATTTTGTATTTAATCTCAGTTGGCCAAGCCCAAAGGAGATCAAGTAACTTGCCTTGCATAAGGTGGAGTTTTAATGACAAAGACAGCTATTAGAAATTTGGTTCTTTTCAGCAACCAACTCTTGTCTTCTTTGTAATGCCATAATTAAGCAATCAAAAAGTATGGTCAGGGACTGATAAACAAGCAAGCTTCTGGGATCCAGTCTGATAATCAGCAGATGAACTAGGGGCCAGATTGGAAGAAAGACAGTTCGAGTAAATTTTGAAATAGTAGACAGTAAAGCAAGACACAAAACAAGGCTATCCTGGCATCAGTAACTGGATAGGTATGATATCCTCAAAAACAAGAGAGGTGACTCTCCAGACCAAAAACAGCAAGCCTCTGATTCTAATACAATGGAGCCCAATGTCTCTGGCACTTGTTTGAATATAAAGCAGGAATAATCCCCACTGAAAAAAACAGAGGAATCAGATCCTGTAATAGTGTAAAAAGGTGAATGGCAAGATGCTAATTTTTTTTTTATTATTACTATTTTTTAATAAGAGAGAGAGAAAATAGTTAAGAGCCAAAATAGCTAAAACCACCCTGGCCTTTACCGGGGTTACAAATTCTTTCAGAAGGTGTTGCTGCCCTCTCAGTTACCTGCCAAAGACAAACCCATGGGCTGTTTCCCATGCAGCAGCTGATGACATCACAAACATTCGCATAGGACTGGAATGTGCTTCCTGTTATATTATAAAGATCAGATTATCTGGTTCAAGGCTAAATGGTCCAAAAGTAAAAACCATTCAGAGCCAAAGCTGGAGCTAAGCACCTTGTGACTAGTTAGCATGGGGAACCTGCATGCTTTAGGAAGAAGTTAAGAGCAGGATTTCCCCTAGCAGCATACACCAATATTTCCTCAAGCCTGGGTTCTTCAGGGTCCCAGTTTATTGCTGCTGTCCATTCCCAGCAAACGTATTTGAGACAATATATGTATCAAGTACTTGGGGAGCCTTCCAAATGAAAAAGGTGCTGTATAAATATTGGATGTTCCAACAATCAATATGTGAGAGAGGACCTTGGCCTTTCAGTGCCTTTCTGAATGAAGCTTAAACTCTTATCATTGCTTCTAAATAGTCTGTGATTTAGTTCCTCTAAGTTCCTATTCTTTCTCATTACTTTGAGACAGGCTAGTGGCTCAGAACATGTGAACATTATCAGATTTCCCAAAGCTGTGAGGTAGTAATTGAGCCTTTTTTATCACTTCTTTTTAAAGTCCATTCTTTCACTTTGCAGAGATAACAAGAATTTCAGTGCATGAGAACAAATATAGTTATCAGCATTTGCCTTTCATTGATCAAAAACTTGGGATTAGGTTTGCTTCTGATGAGAAAGGACATGGCAAAAACTTTCTTCAAACTTTGCAAAGGCAAAAGATAAAACATCCTGTTTGCTTCACATGACAGCTGTAGCGCTTCTAGTTTCCACTTTCAATGGCACTGCTATACACGTGTGACTGAAGTTAACACAATTCTCTGCAGTACAGGTCTGTAAATTGAGGGTTATAAATTGTGGAGATGCCACTACAGGAAGACGACGAGTTTAGAATCAAATTCAAGAACAACCTTCACAAAGCAAAGTCCAGCCTTACAGTACACCTAACTGTACAGAGTATATTTGAACAATGTTATTGTACTCTTGATACATAGCAAAGACCTATAGACAGATTAAGATCCAAACACTTTTCAGTAGCTGCCCACTGGCGATGTTCTAGACTGCCAACTGACTGAATCTGGCCCATGGGTGGACACTCGTCAGTTGACCGTATCTGGCCCATGGCACTCCACATTAGGCTGAAGTCCACCGGCTCTGCACTTCCACCCGTGCCCACTGGCCCCGACTCCAGCCAATGCACACAGCTTCCTGGCCAGGCTGCTCCTGGTGTGGCTGCAGCTGCCCAGATACTGCTCAGCTCCTCCCTGCCTCCAGCAGATCCTCCTCCTCCTCCTGCCCCTGCTGCACTGCTCCCAGTCGGAGGGAAGCTGCAGGCAGACATCCTACCCCAGTGCGCAGGGCTCCAGCTCTAGCTCCCAGCTGCCTTCTACCCACTCTGCCCAACCAGCCGTGATGAGCAGCCACCTATGGGCAACCAAGTGGGTGGAAGTGGCTATGTTCTGGAGTTGGAGCCCTGCGCACCAGGGCAGGAGCCGCTCAGCTGAAGCCGCACCAGGAGCAGCCACACCAGAAAGCTGTGTCCACTGGCTGGGGCTGGGGCCAGGGAGCAAGACGAGCTCAGCCCCATGTGGCATGCCATGGGGGCAGCCATGGGCCAGACTGCACCTGCACCTGAACTACTCGGGTAAGCTCTGCTGCACAGGCTGCCCCCCTGCCCACCCTCCCGGGCCAGCTCCCAGGACCTAGCACACAGACAGCCTCCCCCCACACACATGCACATCCCCCACCCCCCTTCCCAGACACACATAGTATACAAAAGCAAGACTTTATTTTGAGCTTTTATGTAATCACCTCTATATACACTATTCAACATAACAAAAATCAAGACAAAAATATTTTTTGAAATAAAATTAAAATGTGGTACAGCAGATTATTTTAATCCACAATTTGCTAAAATGATATCTTCTGAAAGATTGTGTGCGTGTGCAGCCCTTAGCACTCACCGAAACTCATTAAGTGGCCCTCCAGCGGAAATAACTGACCACCCCTGGGTTAAATCCACGGCTACATACGGATGATCAGTCACAGCAGGGGACAAGGCTGATGTGTAATCTTTGTTTAATGTGACCAAGAGAGACCCACATTTTTTTTTGTTCATTTGTTCTTGTGGGGGGGAAGGGGAAAAGGAGCTCTGCCATGAAGACCATATTATTCCATGCTATACCATTTTTGTTTAATGTGTAGACTGGACTGCAGTGCAGAATGAACTGGCCCATTACAGAGAGATGATGTGAATGCTTGTCCACTGGACTTTTAAGATTAGACCAAGGCTTTGGTCTATACATTTCCAACCCTGTCTATATATCTAGGCCTTAGCATTTAAGTATTTAACACTCTCTAAGGATTTGTTCTTCCCCCTTATGGCACTGACACACTTGTGGTCCAAATAGATATACTCATTAGCGACATCTGTTTACAAAGGGAGAAAGTTGCTGGCAAGACTTTCTGATAAGACACCTTGGAGTTCACTCCCTTTTGACCCCAAATGCCCAGGCTCATTGACCTTTGGGTCATGCCGCCAATAAACTGCAAAGCTCATCTATCGTCTCAAGCATTTAAAAAGGGAACACGGCTAAAGACTAGTACCATCAGGAGCACAGGGTATGTTAATTTTAGTTGGTTACTGGTTGTTGAGGTTTCTATGCCAGTATAACAAGCTCCTGAATTTATCTTTGTTTCTGTAGGAGACTGAGTGCACCGTAGTACAGACACCATTGTTAAGGCTCTTTATCAAGTTGAAAGAAAACAAAAGATAAAGAAAGTTTAAAGAACCTCTCCCATCAGTCCCACCTTAAAATTTAGCTTCTAAAATATTTGATGAAATTGTACAAACCTCTTAAATCTCTGATCTGAAAAACATCAAAATTACACATAGAACAATTCTGCACTTTCAAATTACATTTAGTGGGAGCACAAAGCAATTAAACAAGAGTACAAAATATAACGTAAATTAAATAAGTTTATGAAGACAGAAGTAGAGAGAACCAGTGTTGCTTCTCATTTCACTCTAGTAAGTTTAGCAAGCACATGTGACTGCTGCTACCTTGGTTTTGTGATTTTGCCAAACAAAGCAGAGCATAGCCTGGACTCCACCTGCAATTGCCAAGAGGATACAAGATTTTATGGGACCAGCTAAATCAAAGAACTGCCATTTTGACTCCTATTAAATACAATTCACATTTTATGCCCAGATCCTGCTCAGCTCCTCCCTGCCTCCAGCAGATCCTCCTCCTCCTCCTGCCCCTGCTGCACTGCTCCCAGTCGGAGGGAAGCTGCAGGCAGACATCCTACCCCAGTGCGCAGGGCTCCAGCTCTAGCTCCCAGCTGCCTTCTACCCACTCTGCCCAACCAGCCGTGATGAGCAGCCACCTATGGGCAACCAAGTGGGTGGAAGTGGCTACAGGCTGGGGGTGGGGGCCTGCTCCTCCTCCTCCTGCCCCTGCTGCACTGCTCCCAGTCGGAGGGAAGCTGCAGGCAGACATCCTACCCCAGTGCGCAGGGCTCCAGCTCTAGCTCCCAGCTGCCTTCTACCCACTCTGCCCAACCAGCCGTGATGAGCAGCCACCTGCACCTGAACTACTCGGGTAAGCTCTGCTGCACAGGCTGCCCCCCTGCCCAC